GTGTATGCAAGAAATAAAGCAAAGGAATGGAATATATTGACAATTAGAATAAATCTAAACCAACAGGTCCAGATGGTAGTTATCTCAGATAAGTTAATAAATTACCTAATGAATATATTACACTAATTATATTCTTCAAGAAATTATGAGTTGTTAGGATGTAGGAAAAATGTCTTTTTTCAGTTAGATATAATATGGATGAGGGTAGTTATACAATATAGATAGTATCACATAATATAACAAAAAGAAAAGATAATCAGCAATAATCAAAAGGAGAATGAAAATAATAAATTTCATAGCCTGTGTTTCTAAATTTCCTTGTCACACCTGCAGTTACTTTAGGAGTTCAAGTGTGGGCATGGGAATCACACACTATTAGATGTTGAGTTGCCACTCAGCTCCAAGGGAAAACACTCAAATGTACTGCTCTGCCATTCTGGTCCATTTATGTATAAAAACTTAAAATATAGTTTAGTTGCTTGAAAATAAATGAAGACAACCCAAATGAGAACAAACAAACTATTTATTCTATGGTTGCTATAACAGGGGAATCAGCCAGGATCATTTGTATTTTTCAGAGGCTGGAAGATAAGCAGGGAGTGGGGAAGATTTAACAGCAAGAAAAGAAAAAGGATGGCCAGGTCCACTCTGCCCAGATGTTGTTATGTGGGGAGGGGGTGTTAAATGGAATCCAGTGGGCAGCCTGTGTGATTGTTTGGAGAAGGAATTGGCTTTCTCTGATTGGTCCTGATTGGAAGTGGCTGCAAACTTAGGGAAGCTGGCAGTCACTGACCCAGTCCTGACCATTCTGAGCCTATTACTACAAAGGTTGTGGTTTGATTTCCAAGGCTGGTTGCTACAGAGGTTATAGGTCAGAGTTCACTCTCATATATCTTAAGATGCTATTGTCCAGTTGCATATTAAGACTTTGGGCCTTGATAAATATCCCATTATCACTGAAAAGTGAAATTAACGAGTTGTATCCTTTGGTGCTATTCTTCTTCACACTCAGAAAAGTTGAGAACAAGCCTTAAGTTGAAACAAGCTACCATGCCAAACCCAAGGAAGAACTGGTACTGTCATTAAACAGAGGGTTGGATGCCTCAAAATATGCTCTTGATTGTCAAGGAGATCTTTAATCTACACATTCTATTTAGTCTCTCCAGCAGTAATTAGGAGAATCATTAAATAAATCCCTGAGGACTGGGATTGTGGCTCAGCGGTGAAGTACTTGCCTGGTACATGTGAGGCCCTGGGTTCGATCCTGAGCACCACATACAAATAAGATATTGTGTCCAACTACAACTAAAAATTAAATATTAAAAAGAAATAAATTCCTGAGATTTCTTACCCTGAGCAGATATACTTTCTTACCCTGAACACGGTACATAAAGTAGCCCTAATATAAATTAATCCTTGCCATTCAGAAGATCAGTGTTTGATATGTGGCTCAAAGCTATCATTTTTCTCTCTAGAAGCTTAACATGGTGCTGCTTCTGTTCTATTCCCCAGTTACACTGGCTTCTGACTATGTCACAATTTTAGATGACTTGGGGGAGACTGTCTGAGATGCTCTCCAGGGTTCCCTAAAGTTGAATTTCAAGTATACAAGATCTGTAAATAAGGCAGACTTCAAATTTGCCTTTCAAATTTGCTGATTACATGTCTAGAATCAGAAGATAATAAACAGAAATTTGATTCCACTTATGTAGGTAGAGTTTCCATTAAAACCTTTGGTTTCAACAATGATATACACTAGTTGTAGGAAAAAATGACTTTTGGTAAAACTACCTAGTGTTTACCATCTGGGGATAGAGTACAGAGAAAGAATATGAGAGTAAATAGACAGAACTCAAAGTAAATCGAATCCAGACATCAGGGAAATGCAAATAAAAACCACAAAGAGATACTGCATCATACCCAAGAGGATGGCCACATTGAAAATGTCAGAGATAAAAATGTCAGGTGAAAAATGTCAGCCAGAATGTGAAGTCAGAACCTGCATCCACTGCTCATGGAAATGTAAATTGGTACAGCCAATTGGGAAACCAGGCTGTCCGCCCCTGAGCAGATAGAAACCTAAGAGAAATGAAAATATATGTACACACAAAATTTGCACACGAATGTTCATAGCCTCATTATTCATAATTGTCAAAAGGTAGAAACCAAAATTTTCATTGATCAGTGAATGGACAAAATGTGATATAACCATACATTGGAATATTATTAAGTCATAAAAAGGGAGTACTGATCCCATACTACAATAGTAAATGAACTGGAAGACATTATGCTAAGTGAAGGAAGCCAGACACAAAAGACCACATGTGGTGTGACTTCATTTATATGAAATGTCCAGAATAGGCAATATATAGAGAGAAGGTAGATTAATGGTCGTTAGGGAAGGGAGAATAAAGGGATTCTGAAAAGTTATAGTGTGTGTTTGAAGTGATGAAATATTCTAAGTTTATAGTGATGGTTTAACAACTCTGAACCTACTTTAAATGGGTGCACTGGATATGTGAATTATATATCAATAAAACTGTTACCAAAAAAAATCACCAAAACATTAGAAGAGGTTATAATGTAGGTATTTGGGTCAAGTTATTGTCAAATTATTGTCTTTGAGTTCTCATGCTGGTTTTTAATCTTTTAAGATTATTTTCAGGGACAATGCCCATATAAGACAGTGGCCAAAGAGCAAAGAACTTGGATTCAGGGAATAGAATCAATTTGTGACTTCAATATTTTCAAATTGTGTCTTTCTATAAATTATCTAAGTGTTAGTTTCCAAAATTGTAAATTGAGAAGAACAGCACTAATCAGGCTCTTGTTAGGTGCTCTTAGTGAGAAAGTAATGCATTAGCTGCTGTTATTGTTAAAACAGATTATTATCATTATGGCTACCTGAGACAGGAAAAAAAAAAAAAGCTCATCTGTGAACAGAGCATAGTGTATAATGCCATGGAGAGGAAATCGAGAAGAAGTTCATTTCAACAAGTACCTACTGAGTGGTGATATTTAGTAGTGGGTGTGGTGCAGAGAGGAGGAGATTAAAATAAGATGAATCTCTCTTCACCCCCAGAATCATACTCACTGGTAGTGATACTAGGGGCTGGGAATGCACCTTCTTCTTGCAGTGATTTTAATATCAATATAGTTATAAAATGGGGTTTGCACCAAGTACAGAGGAGCAAGAAGAGAAGCCAATGAGAGAATACTGAAGGAGATGACCCCCAAGCTGAGTCTTGAGGAACAAGAAAATTTCATCTGGTAAAGAAAAAGCCAAAAGTTTTCTTTTGTGGCAGAAACAGGAAGTCCATAGGCAAACTCCTACAAAGTCCATTTATGTGCCATCAAATTCTGAGTTCCAGTGTCAATTGCAAACTCAAAATCTTCATTTGGATGGCCAATAGACTTAGGTCCTTCATAGCATTCCCTCCCTCAGTCGATGGCTGCTCTGGCCTTCTGGCTGTTCAGGCTGAAAACCTTGGAGTCATTCTCAGCTACTCTCTTCCTTTCCCCCATTCAACTGCTCAGATACTTCTCTGAGCTCCCCTTGAAAAATGTATGCATTTTATGCTTTAGACAAAGAAAAACTGGAGTTGGCAGAGGGACTCCTAAACCTGTGTTGCCTGCTCTGAACCTCTATCCACTCTTACCTGCCTCTACTTGTGCTGTCTACATCCTCTAGACAGCACCCAGGACAATCTTTTCACATAAAAGTAAAACCAGGACATTTCTCTGTTCAAACTCTCCTGTTTAGGACCTGTGATTATTCTCCCCACACCTCTTCTTACCTCTGCTCTCTTCTACTCCCTCTTGATTTCATCTCACCCTCTGATTTTGTCTGGCTGAGACAATAGTTTATTTTACTTTTGTCTTTTCCTATGTCATATTGAAAAAGCAATAAATATAACTGGGCAGGTGTTAGCTTCCTTGGAATGTGAGCACCAATTGTCTAACTCCTTGCTTAAGTATTTGCATACCTGCTGGCCCCTGCCCAACCTTGAGTGTCCTCCACACTGAGAAAGCAAATGTGGAGCCACTGAAGGTTTTAAGTAAGTCAGATTGGTATTCAGATAGATGATATTGCTTTCAGCATGGAGAATGGATTTAAGGGGAACTCCACTGGAAGCAAAGGCTGGAAGGGAAACAAGTGAGGAAGTTTTTACAATAGTCCAGATGGGAGCCTGCACTAAGGCTGTGGTTGCTAGTGAGAATGGAGAGGAGATTCTAGATTGCAGAAACACTTTTAGAATTGGCAAGACCCAATGCTTGACTGAATATGGGGTTTGGAAGGAAAAATTTAGGGGGGAAACTCCTAGGTTTCTGGTTTGAGAAACCAACTGGTACATGCAGCAGTCATTAGGTTTTTGTTAGAAGATGACTTTGAAGATGATGTGGAAGATGTGTTTCTTTTGGACATTTGCATTGGATACATTGCTGTGTATAGTTGTTATATATATATTTGGTGCTGAGATTGAACCCAGGGCCTTGTGCATGCAAAGCAAGCACTCTACCAACTGAGCTATATCCCCAGCCTTCCTCGGGTAATTTTTAAAACTTAGAAAACTGGAAAGTGCAGCAGCCCTAACTGGAGAAAAGGTGCGGGGAAGGATCTGGTTCCCAAGGCCGGTGGGTATTTAATTTTTTCTACAGATGTTGTGTGCTGAACTCCTTCTGCTCCATCAAGACGCCTTCGTCCTCCTTGGTTCAGGACCAGCCGGCCTGGCGTCCTCGCGCGCCCACACCCCGGGGCCAGCCGGCCTGTCGTTAGTCGGGGACTTCGCAGTTCCCTGGACGGGGCAGGCGGGGTCCTGCTGAGCGAGCCCCGGCCTGAGCCCGGGTCTCCACGGCAACCCGCCGGCTCCAAGGGTCTTTTAAGGGCGACAGCTCTCCAGGGCCCGCTCCCGGGGGGCTGCCCAGAGGCAGGAACCGGGGAAGCGCGGCGTGCGGCGGCCGCATTGTCTCGCGCCATAGCAACCGGGCGCGGCGGGGACACGCGCGCAGCCCGGCGTCGCTCTCCAGCAGACGGCTCTGGCGGGAGCCGGCACCTTGCAGCGGGCCCCGGGCGCGGGCGGCGGCATGCCGAAGAAGCGGCTCACCGCGGGTAGGTGCGCGGCTCGCCCCGGGGCCGGACGCGGAGCCGGGCCGCGCCTCGCGCAGGACGCTGGAGGTTACTGCTCGCCCAGGCGTCCCCTCTTCCTGACGGTCGGAAATCTGGCTTCACCGCCCTCGCATTGCTTTTATTAGGAAATTCACCTCCTCCCCCGTTTACATTGGCACCGAGTTGCTTTATCTTGCTTAACTCTCCATTTTGCAGCTGGAGTAACGGAGGCCTCCGTGGAGGAAGGTTAACTCCAGGGTCACAGTGAATTAGTGACCAAGCTGGATTCCAGAGGCCTGGCCTCCCCACTTCCATCTTGAATTCCAACTTAAAATTCAATCCATGTGCAGAGAATGAACAGAGGGCCAAAATTTTACAGAGCTTACCCATGTATAAAGTAGGGCTGGGCGCTGTCTCCGATTATTTCATTTACTCTAAGAGGAAATCAGATTTGAGTGAGATAATGTAATATTTTATCTTGTTTCAGAGCCACCAGATATTACAGAAGAAGAATTTGTAAGTAAATTTTAAAGGGGCTATTTATTTTTGCTTTTTTTTCCCAATATGAGATATCGTATCATAGATGAAAGCTGTGTGCTTTTCCTTTTTTCCTAGTAGAAGCTTTGATTTAGTAACAGTGGTGAAAACTGGGTACAAGACCTTCTTATATTCTTTAGAAGGAGCCAATTACTTCGTCTGATGAATTTTGATCATTATTAAAGTTCTTTCACATAAACGATCTCACTTGATTTCTCTGAACTCTTTAGCGTCTCCGTGAGAGGTAGGGTTTATTTCCATGGTTTTGTTGTGATGTGACGCACAGTTCCTGGTTGCAGTAAACATTAGTAAGTAGCATTGACTGATAGTGATTAATTTATAATTCCTTTTCAAATTTCTTAGCTATTATTCTTAGTTCAGACTTCTGGAGAAGTTGAGTAATAATCAGTATTTTGCCAAATTATACACATCATCATTTAGACACCTACTATCTTCAGTATGGGTTCATCTGTATTTCCTATTGTATATTTAAGGGACTTGCCCCAAATTACACACGGGTAGGAAATAGCAAAGCCTAATTCTTACTAAGGTCTGACTCTGAATCCAAGAGCTCTAACCACTTCTGTTATTTGCTTATGTCCTCCAGCACTTATTTCTCTTGTTGGCTGATTATCATATTTGCTTTTGGCTTTTTATTCAACAAGCATGAATGATTGCAGTCCTAGAGGGATAAGAACTAGAGAGGAGGGAGGGCTGTCTTCCTGGGTTGGCAGCTTCCACTTTGACCTTTACAGGTCTTTGCTGTTGAGACAGAGAAAGGGAGAGAGGCAGAGGAACCCCCACCTCCACCCTACACATACACCAAGGTAGAGGTACACAGAGTTAGTCAGATATTCCTCCCATCTTCTGGCCATGTTGGCAGAGTTCTGTTTAGTGGGGAAACATTTTAAAGCTTCTTCAGGCCTTAAGCCTGAACTGCTCTTTGTTCCAGTAGGAGGTGAACATTTCTGGAGCCAGCTGATCCTTTCTTCTAGGATTCCAGCACAAGCTCTCTGAAGAGCACTCAGTAACATACCCCTTGATGTTTGAGCAGTTCGCTATTTCAGGCATTTGACCCAGTTTGCACAGCTTGAAGACTCTATTAGCCCACCCCCTTGGCTTCTTTAACACCACTGTCTCCCAGTTCTTTAATCTTTCATTTATTCCTTCTTTCTAGCTTCTCTTTTTCTTTTCTCATGAAAGTATTGGCCTTCTTCAGGATTTTTTATTCTTCAGGATTTCTCTGCATGAGCTCCTTTTTTGCTTCTTGAGCTCCTTTTTTTTTTTTTTTTTTTTTTTTTGGCACTTTCAAGTCTCATACCTCTAGCGTAGATACCGCTTTTGATGCCACTTCTGTATAGCCAGTGCTATTGGGCATCATCTGGGTGTCCCTACATCACCTCAACAGAACTTTTATCTCTCTTCCTGATTCCCAATTCTTTTTCCTTCTCTTTTTCTTATTTTGGTTAATGGGGGTCCTGGTCATTCAGTCACTCAAACAAGAGCCTTTCTTCCTCCCCTGCCTGTAATCATTCACCAAGTTTCTTTCATAGCTAGATCTTTTTTTCCATCCTGATGGCTACTGTCTTATTTCAGGCCTGTATCCCTGGCCTGGACCTTGGCAGTGGTCCTAACTGATATCCCTGTCTTCAATAGTCCCTTTGCCAACTCCAGTTTTTCTTTGTCTAAAGCATAAAATGCAAACTCCTGTTCATGAACTGTACTGGTGACCAGCTACTGCTTTGCTCTACCTTTAGATTTTTCTTTTTTCCATCCTCTGACCCTAGCTACCAGATTGCTCTTAGCTCTTTTTTAAAAAATTACCATGTTACACAACCTTATTATCTGCTTATTATGACCCACATTTCACAGATGAGGAAGTTGAAGTTCACAGGGGTGAACTTTGGCTACACGTTTAATAACTGGGGGAGCCAGAATGTCAAATGCCTTTAGCATTCAAACTTTTCTATAACTGTTTAACCTTCTTTAACCTTACCTCCCAATATTTCTCTTGTGATAAAGATGACATTCATCCTGTTTAGGGTTTGTAAAGTACTTCCACATGCCTTCTGGTCCAGCCAAACTACCCTGCTTGGCTCCCGCCTTTGCTGTTGAGTTTGGTCTCAGTTGCCCTTTCCCATCCATTTCACAATCTTGCACATTCTTCCAGGCCCAGCTCATCTCCTCCATGAAACCTTTCCAACCTAACATCATCCAGACTGCCTTGGAGCTCAGGGCAGCTTTCCATTGAGACCAGTTTGTGACTAGATCCTTAAGCTCACATGCTCAATCAAGCATCCTCTACGATCAAATAACTACCCTGCCTCGAACATACATTTACCTTTCTTTTTCTGAAGTGTGAAAGTGTTGTTCTCATCCATAAACTGCCTAGTTTTAGACAAAGAGTGTGGCAGAGATTTGTAGCTCCCTTACCCCATTTTTTTTTCATTTTTCATAATAGGTACTAGACTCTTTACTCTCCAGAATAAAGGTTACATTTTCTAGCTTCCCCTGCAGCCAAATGTGGTTATGTAACTAAATTCTGGTCAGTAGAATGTACACAGAAATGTTGTGTTCTACTTCTGGAAAGTTGATGTTTACGGAGATCAGATAACCAATCCCAGGTCACATAGCTAGTAACTAGATAAGCCACAATTGGAAACTGAATTATTTTCTTTTTTTAAAAGAATTTTTAATTTGTTCTTTTTAGATAAACATGACAGTAGAATGTATTTTGACATACACACATGGAATATAAAGTCCCACTTTTGTGTTGTACATGATATGAAGTTACACTCGTCATGAATTCATATATGAGCATAGGAAATTTATGTCCAGTTTATTCTACTGTATTTCCCATTACCATCTCCCCTTGCCTTCAACCCACTCCACCCCGTCCAGTATGGTGAACCCCCCCACCACCACCATTATGAGTCAGCATCTGCATATCCGAGAGAACAACATTTGGCCGTTGTTTTTTTTTGTTGTTGTTGTTGTTGTTTTTTGGCTCATTTCAGTTAGTATGATAGTCTCCAGTTCCATCCATTTACAAAAAAAAAACGCCATAATTTCATTCTTTTTTATGGCCGAGTAATATTCCATTGTGTATAGGTACCACATGTTGGAAGCTGAATTTTTTAAACTCTAATATTCATGATATTTGGCAGCCATGCTGCCTGCCCTGAACTGCCTATGATTTTGTGAGACAAATAAACTTCTAAGATTTCATTCAAATAGTGCTTTTTTGGTTCTGTGCTCCTATATAGATAGTATTGTTTTTTCATACTAATTGTCTCAATCAATCAGTGGATCTAACAGTACAATACTGTCACGGATGCCTGTAAAATATTTTATCCTTAACATGGCCTCTTCATCCCCAAAGCATAGAACTGTTCATTAGATTCAATCATTTGTTTTCCAGAGATATGCTACCTTATATATTATATATTCATACTTATAATCTATAAATTTTGCAGTTTCTTTCTTTTTCAGTTGTCAATGGACTTTATTTTATTTATTTATATGTGGTGCTGAGAATTGAACCCAGTGCCTCACACATGCCCCCACCTTGCATTCTTTATTTACCTTGCTTTCTCTTCTGACAACATCTCTTATTATTTTATTAGTATTGTTTTCTTAGATCCTTTGTTAGGTTGTTGGTCTTTTCAGGTTTCATATCCTCAGTGTGATTATTTGAATATTTATTCAACAGGAATGTTTTAAGCATTACTATCTAAGGGCATTTGGGAATTTTAAAAATGAGTAAGAAACAGACTTTTTCTTCTGGAAGTTCACAAGTTCCAGTGGGTGAGACATGTACACAGATAATTATAGAATGAAGCGATAAATGATTTTATAGGGAAAACACAGATTACCACTATTCCAGACCTGGTGGAAAGAAAAAAGGTAGGCAGTGAGCAGGGGAGAACAAAACTCTCCAGACAAAATAATCAGAATGTGTCAAAGTACTGAACTATGAAAATTGCTGAGACTGGAGCATGTTAGTATGCGGTAAGTTTGGACAGATGAGCAGGAGCCAAATTGCACTCATCACAAGCCATATGATGAATGGATTATGCAGAAAAGATTGGGACAGTGGGCTCTTTGTATTAAATGAAGTATGTAACCTACAGGAGACTGACCCGTAGGTTAGTGTGGTTAAGGAGGGTTAGGAAAGCGCATCTGACTGGTTATGGAGAAGAGGGTGAAACAGAGGTCTCAGGTGTCTATCTTTTGTGGATAGCATCCCAGAGTAGTGCTCCAAAGATGCTCAGATAACCAGGAATTTATTCTAGAGGTAATGACAGTGATTTAGGATGTCATTTAGTACACAGGAAGTTAAGATGGCTGTCCATAAAGTGCAAAGAAATTTGGTTTTGTTTCCTTATATATAACTACCGCCCACAGCATTCTATTATGATAAATTTTTATTAATTTTTTAAATTTACATATGACAGTGGAATGCATTACAATTCATATTACACATATAGAGCACAATTTTTTTATATCTCTGGTTTTATGCAAAGTATATTCCCACCAATTCATGTCTTCATACGTGTACTTTGGATAATGATGTTCATCACATTCCACCATCATTTCTAATCCCCTGCCCCCTCTCTTTCCCTCCCACCCCTCTGCCCTATCTAGAATTCATCTATTCCTCCCAAGCTCCCCCTCCCTACCCCACTATGAATCAACTTTCTTATATCAGAGAAAATATTCAGCATTTGTTTTTTTGGAATTGGCTAACTTCACTTAGCATTATCTTCTTCAATGCCAACCATTTCCTGCAAATGCCATGATTTTGTTCTCTTTTATTGATGAGTAATATTCCATTGTGTATATATGCCACATTTTTTTTTATCCATTCATCTACTGAAAGGCATCTAGGTTGGCTCCACAGTTTAGCTATTGTGAATTGTGCTGCTATAAACATTGATGTGGCTGTGTGCCTGTAGTATGCTGTTTTTAAGTCCTTTGGGTATAGACCAGGAAGAGAGGGATAGCTGGGTCAAATGGTATTCTATTCCAAGTTTTCCAAGGAATCTCCATACTGCTTTCCATATTGGTTGCACCAATTTGCAGTCCCACCAGCAGTGCATGAATGTACCTTTTTCCCCACATCCTCGCCAACAATTATTGTTTATATTCTTAATAGCTGCCTTTCTGACTGGAGTGAGATGAAATCTTAGAGCAGTTTTGATTTGCATTTCTCCAGTTGCTAGTGATGATGAACATTGTTTTTATATATTTGTTGATTGAGTGTATATCATCTTCTTTGGAACATATAAGAAAAGAATTGTATAGCTGGGCGTGGTGGCGCACATGTAATCCCAGTAGCTCAAGAGGCTGAGGCAGGAGGATCACAAGTTCAAAGCCAGCCTCAGCAATAGTGGGGCACTAAGCAACTAAGTGAGACCCTGTCTTTAAATAAAATACAAAAAATAGAACTGGGGCTGTGGCTCAGTGGTCAAGTGCCCCCTAGTTCAATCCTCAGAACCTCCCCTCCCCGCCAAAAAAAGAATTGTGTAATGAACACTGATAGACTTATCAGGATTTCACAATTATTATTTTACAACATGTGCATTTTCTGTCCTTTTGTCTGCCTGCCAGCAATCCTTCAACCTCACTTATTTTTAAAATAAGTTACAGTGATTGGTATGCTTCACCTCCAAACACCTCAGTGTGAATATCACGAACTGTGCTTCAATATTAGTTTGATTTTTTTGTCGATGTAAAATTTATATACTCTGACATGCAAAAATTTTGGATCATTTGATGAATTTTGTCAAATGAATATACCTGTGTAATCCAAACTCCAATCAATATATAGAGCACTACCACAATTCTAGAAAGTTCCTTCAAGCTCCTTCCCAGTTTGATTCTTGCCTCTATTCCCCAGAAAAAACTACCTTAAGTTTTGCTTTCTGGCCTTTCTTCTTTGTGTAATTTCATTCTGTGCTCTGCATTGCCTTATATTTATATTTCTAAATATAGAATTTAGGGCTGGGGATGTGGCTCAAGTGGTAGCGTGCTTGCCTGGCATGCCCGAGGCACTGGGTTCGATTCTCAGCACCACATAAAAATAAAAAATAAAGATATTTTTAAAAAATTCAAAGGCATGCTTTCTTTAAAAAATATAGAATTTAAAGTTATTTAAAGTATATTTCAAATGCCATTTTCTCCACTTGAGTCTCTTCTGATTCTTTCTACTAGATAACATCTTTACCTCTGAGGAAATAGTTTATAAGATCTTTGTATACCTTAAGCATCTTTTAGAGTGGTGAAGAAATTGTAGTTCATTTGATTTGAGGGTGTAGAAAATAAGCCAAAAATTATAACCTACCATATTTAGCAAGCATGCATAAACTATTTTACCTAGCCAACTTTCAGTAAGAAATTTGAGAAGTTTGGACTAAAAATGGAAAAGTTGACTTCATTTCCACAGACGGCACACCTGGAATACATGAAAAAAAAATAGGTTCCAAGAGTGTATTCAGTTCTGAAGAACTGTTCCTACCTTCCATTGCATCATTCAGCAGAAAATCTGTGTTGCAAATTCAGCAGTCAGGTTCATGGGATGATGTAATGGAGGAATTGATTGTAACGTAGTTTTCTTCTTGATGGTACCTTTAAACATCACCAGTTTAATGTTTATTTGGAAGATATCAAGCCCAAGTAGGAAGAATTAAGAAATGAATTCTTTAAGGAATTCTTAATTAATTCATTAAGAAATGTTTATTAATTCATTAAGAAATGTGGAAAATGTGATGGACATCATTATACAAAGTACATGTATGAAGACTTGAATTGAGTGTCAACATACTTTATATACAAACAGAGATGCAAAAATTGTGGTGTGTATGTGCATAAAGAATTGTAATGCCAAAAAAAAAAAAAAGAATAGTATTACCTTAGATTAGGTAGAGGGAAGTGAAAAGAGGGGAAGGCAGGGGATGTAGGGATAAGAAAGATAGTAGAATGAAACAGACATTATTACTCTATGTAGGTATGTGACTATATGACCAAGGTGATTCTACAATATGTATACTCAGAAAAATGAGAAATTATATACCATTTATATATGTATAAAAATATACAAATGCATTCTACTGTCATGTATAACTAATTAAAACAAATAAAAAATTTTAAAAAAATAGTAACTGGTTCATACGGAAAAAAAGAAAATAATAGAGAATAACTGAGCTGCTGCTGCTTCAGATCAAGGCTTTCTTTCTTTCTTTGGTAATTAAAGACTTTGGGAGAAGAAGGTTTATCAGCTCTTCATTGGTTTGCAAGACTACCTGGTGATGTGACAGGACATTTGAACACATTTAACTGGTAACTGCAGTGGGAAATGTGCTCATGTATTTAGAGAAGTGCAGGCCTTCCCACTGAAGTGCTGTGGGAGGATCAAGCAGTCTGCGCTGATTTCCCATGGCCGAACTGCCCCATATCAACAGATCTGCCGGTGTTTAGTATCAATAGATGTTAAGTTACAACTTCAGAAAAGAAATATAGATTTTTATGTATTGGAATAACACCTAACATTTCTACGGTTGCCTGTAAGTACAAACTGAAGGTTGTGACTGCCAGGAAATGCTGAATCTCCATGGGGTTAGAGCAGGGCTACTAGTGCCACCTAAGAAGTCTTGGCCATCTGTGGCAAGATGAGCTCAGAAATCACAATTGTTTAGAATCTTGGTGGCATTTGACAAAATATGTTTATAACTATTGAATTTGGCAATAAAAATTGGGATTGCAATGTAAGTGCTTCATTTCATTTCCTAGTAATTTATTTGTACTCTTATTTCATGAAAGTTTTTGTGTCTAAAATACATTAAGGAAAAAAAAAAAACAATAACAAAATGGGTACCTCATCATATAGTTCATTGAGTTAGAGTCTTTTAGAAGTGTGAGGCATGTGGAGGTGAATATTGAAGGCCAAGGATTGTCTAGAAATTCTAGCAATGTGGCTAGTCAAAATCCTGGCAATATTAGGTCCCTCAGGCTCTATGAAATATGTATTCTATAGTACAGCTAAAAATTAAAAATAAAGTGCATAACTGAGAAAAACTAACAAGGGAATATACTCCACTACTATTGTTAATTTAAATTACACATCCTTCCATCTCTGGATTTTTGATCATGTGGCCTAGTACAGCAAAATTTGGCTACTCTTTTTCTAACACAACACCATTTATCTTGGAGATACTAAAAACATTTATTGAATTCAGATGTTTTCTCATAAGAGTAAGCAGAAACAAACTACTTAACTAAATATAGTCCTAGGAAATTAAGGTAACTTTGAAAGGTAAAGGTTATTAGCCTTATAGCTTCCCCCAAAATAATACTTGTCTTGTTCTGCTTTATTAGACCTTTGTCAATCAGAACTTATTTGCATATACTACTAAGGTACCACTTTGAATGTGTTATATTTATTAACTCCTTGGTTTGTTGTTGTTTTAACCAGTTGAAATTTCTAGTAAATTCCCCGATAAGTCCTGTGATTGTTCATAACTCAAAGTACTTGTAAATATACCATTGTAATCGTCTGGATCACACTACAATGCAGTAATTTTTTTAAAAAATTGGCCAGCATTATATAAAAGGAAAGTCATTAGTCATCTGAAAATAATAGCATGTTAGATTTGCAAAATTAAAATATAATTATGGATAACAAAATAAACACATGTACTGTTCAACAGAGTGTGCCATGATGTGCTTTTGACACAAAGGAAACAATGACTTATAAAATAAGGTATTTTATGATTTGGAAGAGAAATTTTGTTCTTGGCGGTGGCATTTCAATTTTGCCAGTTTTAAAAGTGGCTATGTTGGTGGATGATATAGTAATGGAAAAATGTATACAATCCTTATGCTGAGAACATGTGCATTGTCAAAGTTTCCTCATGCAAAAAGGAAGCAGAATATAAAAAATTTTAAAAATTGAAAAAAATGAAGCAGAACCCAAATTACAAAAACCATATCTCTGAGAGGCAGACAGAGAACATTTTCTTCACTTGGTTTAGTGCTTCTACTGGGAAATTTAAGAAATTTACCTTCTAGATTGGCTTTTAACCCCAAACACTGCTTCGGACTTTATTGACTGCTTTATTTTTATGAAATATATGGATTTTAATAAGTCTGTGGGAAATGTCCTGGGTGGTGGAATTATTTTGTATTTGTCTATTCTTTTAAGCATTGCACTACTTTTTTCATGCATTCTGTTTTGAGCTTAGTACAGCAGCAAAGTCTTGTATGTTCCATTCTGTTTTTGTTATTCCTGCCTTCCAGAGACTGTGTAGCACTGTGTTATGTTTGGGGTGAGGATTCACTGTTGACTGACTAAAAAAGATCTGAAGATATGTATAAAAATAAATTGATAGCAGAATTAGAGAATAATATGGGCATGTTTTAAAACATCTTCACATAATCAGAATATTGTGTTCTTATGTTTTTGAAGGAAGATTTTTTGGCAACAGATGGCTTCCTTGTGGACTACTTTAATGAATTCCTAAGCCTGCCAGTGAGTACATTATTATGTTCTATTGAATATATTATAAAAGGAAAATATTGTAATCACTGAATTATCTTTATAGAGTTAACCATTTGGGTTTGAGTCATATTTAGAAATTATTCTTATTGAAGAAAGCTGGAGTTCTCCTAAGCATCAAAGAGTATTCTGTATAAAATATGACAGTTGTATTTGGCATTATGTTAGGCTTTGAACAGAGATGATAAGGACAGAATATCAAAAACTCAAGAAACTCAAATGTTTTACTCCAGGCAATTATTTTCATCCTTGTGGTCAGATATGAAAGTGGAATTTACGTACAAGACAACAAGTGTTTTCTATCCGTAATAAATAAGACTTGGGATACTCTTGGTGTAACATAGGTGGGTGCTGGTTATTAGAGTTTCAGTCTTAGCAGTGACCAATAAAGTTAAGTTAGAAGTGGTTTGGGAAACAAAATGAGGGTTCATAGAAAGTTTAATATTATTGTGTGGAATAGCAGTTAAAAGAAAGTTAGATAAAGAAAGGTTTTCCTTATACGTTATAAAAAGCATGAATACTTTTTTCATTTAAACTCTTACCAGGGAAAATTTGGAATATAAAGAAGTTCAAAATAATTTTAAAGGGAGTGGACCATAAAATGTTAAATCTCTTAAATCAAACCACTGAGAGTATCTTTTGAGGAGAATGTACTACTCAGTCCTATCTAGTACTTTATTGCTGAGATTAGTTCTTGTATTTCGGTATGTATCTATTTATACATCCATGGCTGTTTTGTGATTTTTCCCACCCAAATCATCTGTGTTCTCTCCTGCACTTGGTTCAGCTGGATCTCTGGAACCATTATGGAAGAGTTAGAGACACCAAAGTACCTTCTCTCTTTCCAGGAACAGACTTGAGTGACACTTCAGGATTTGATAGTCTACCTTTCATCATCTTGTTACACATTATTTAAAAAAATACAATAGTGTCACAAAATTGCCAGAATTTGGTTCTTTTAGAATTTGTAAATTTTCTTTTGTGCTTTCAATCTCCACTGTTTCTCCAGCCTCTGTAATTATATATTTCTAATGCATATAATTTTACATATTAGAATACATGTGATCAAGGTCTCTACATATATAACAAATTTTGTATTTTTATAGAATTTTAAATAGAAAAAGTTCTGTAAGTCTAACTTTAGTTTCTGAACATTTAAGTTTCAAGATTTGTGATTATCCCAACTTTTTCTTGCTCCAAAAAATAAATTCCCCTGCTTAACTTTCTTTTTTTAAAAAAAAATCTATTTAAAATTATACAAGTAATATAACAATAATATAGAAATTTTGTCAAAAATATGAGAAAAATTCATCCATAATCCTGCCATTCAGTCAAAATAAACATTACCATTTTTGTATGTTTTCTTCCAGGCTTTGGGTGAAATAATAGAGTGTGATTTCTGTTGAACTCTGTGTAGTCATGTTTTTCATCCCTCCCCAGTAGACATTCATAAATTTGAAACCTTCATGTGTTTCAGGCTGGCCTCTTTTCTATTTCCAAATCCCCTGTTTTTACTGCCCCCTCCCCCTGTACCTTCTTTTGCACTATAGGCAATATCACATGGTCAACCTGTCAATTACCCATTCTTCACATCACAAGACAAGGGAAGGGAAAATGTCACACAGTTGCAAAAAGAATTTGGGGATAGGGAGGAGAAGGAGTGATAGATTCTTAAACCAAGTGCCTGGCAAAATTCTAGACCAGATTAGTGATGTTTAGTTTATGAGCACTTAGCTAAGAATTAGAAGCCAGCATGGGTTTACTGAGAATCAATGTGCCAAACTAATCTCTTTTTTAGGATCATTATGAACTGGTATTTTAAGGAATCATAAATTCAGTGAGTTAGGATTTCAATAAAGTGTTTTAAAAATAATAAATTGAATCATGTTACTTCCTGATCTGCTCAAAACCCTGTTTTAGAGGCTTCTCATTAACTACGAATAAAATCCAGAATCCAGTATGATTTGGTTCTTGCCATCTCTTGAGCTTTATTTCCTATCCTTTTTCCTTGGATAATTCTTTTTGAGCTTAAGTAGCCTTCTCCATGTATCTCAAATATGAATATGCCAAATATTTTCAGGGTCTTTCAGCCTGGAACACTCTTCCCTAAGGTATCTATATCACTTTCTCCCTGACTTAAATCACTTCGGTTCAGAAAGCCTTCCCTACCAATTCTAAAATAATATCCCCAACACACACACCACTTACATTGCTTTATTTGTCCCCAAAGTCCTTATCATTATCTGTGAAATTAGTTTTCAAATATTTGAACTGGTTCACTAACTATAACCAGATTGAACTTGACATTCTTTAGTATGGAATTCAAGACCCATGATAATTTGGCTCAATCTTTCTGGCTCTGCTCTAGTGTATATTATTGATGCCACTCTGCACACTGTTTTCTGCTCCTCTAACCCACCCACCCACCCACCTTGGCCATATATTTTCTTATGCTCCATTCTTACCATGTAATTGTTAGTGACAGGAGTGAGACCAAAGTGTGTTTGAGTGTGGTCTTTCTACTCATTACTGGTGTGATCTTAGAAACATCACTCAATTCCTTTACTTATTTATCTGTAAAAACAATATACTTGCCTTTTATAAGATTATTAAGAAGTGAGGGAATGTGGAGCTGGGATTATAGCTCAGTGGTAGAGTGGAGGCACTGGGTTCAATCCTCAGCACCACATAAAAATGAATAAAATAAATAAAGATATTGTGTCCATCTTAAAAAATATTTTTTTTAAAAAAAGAAGTGAGGTAATGTATATTAAGGACTAGTGCTTCTCTTTTCTTTCTTTTCACTAATTAGATCATCTCTTCTTCCATTCCTGAAACCTAACAGGCAACCACTTTGGTTGGATTGGCAGATCATTGCCAATCTGGAGAATAATCTTGTGTGCCACACAAATCTGTCATCAACTTTGCCTTTTAAAAATTATTTTTATCAGAGACTTGTGTGAAAAGTTGCAAGAGAATCAGTGTTTTTCCAGTTTAAGGTCACTCAGCTGGTAAATGACAAAGGTCCGTCTAGGACCACATGGCTCAAAACCTTTTGATTCTCCTGCTGCATTATGATGTCTACAGAACTGGCATCAGAGAAATAAAATGATCATTTGAATAACAGACTCTGGTCTCATTTTTATTCTGGTACATAGTATGAAATGAACTAAAATAAACAAAACTAATATATTTTTGGAGTACATTAATAGAAGTATAGTCAAGATCAAGAAAAACATTAGTCTGGGAGCATAGAAGGCACTCATAATAGGGTTGAATCGTGAGACCACATTTGGAATATTGTGTTCCATTCTTGGTGCCATATGTTAAGGGCTGCTCTGCCAAACCAGACTCAGGGAGACCCAGCCCATGAACACTCTGGAAACTGTGTCAGATGAGGAAGGGTTGAAAGAAGTGTGCATGTTTAACCTGGCTTAGGACTGGGTGGTTGGGGTGGGATGGAGTAGTCATCAAATATTTGAAGATCTGATTGAGGAAGAGGGATTAACATATTCTGTGACATTAGAGGATATGACCAAGGCCTCATTTATAAGGGAATCTAATTTTCAGGTTTATTTTCAAACAATGAAATAGGGCTGTCTTATGTAGGAGTAAATTCCATGTGATTAGAGGTATTTACATGAAAGTCAGGAAGTCGTCTTATAGAATATTGCATAGGGGAGATTATCTATCTGTTTCTATCTATCTATCTATCTATGGTGGAAGACTGGACTTACACAACCAAAGAAATTTTGATCAATTTCTTCTCTGCTCATTTTATTTCAGGTCAGGAGCTACATTGTAAATTTCTTGGGGACAAAGATATAGGTCTCTTTTTATTGTGTCTCCCAAAACTTCTTGAAGATGATTCTGTTTTTATTTCCTCATCTTCTATATAAGATCCTTGAAATAAACAAGTAAAGGATTACTCCTGCTTCCCTGGTCTCCATCCCCACCTCCCACCCAAAACCACTACAGAAATAAGCCTGAGAGTGTAGATACATATTATAGGGCCGTTCAGTCATCTAGATTTCTAAGAGTTCTTCTACATCTGTACTAACAAGCCCAAAGTCCCATAGCTGGATTTTGGCAAAAATGGACCTAGGAATCAGGCTTTCTGGCTCCTATACTATTTCTTTCCATTACAACATTGCACCCTTGGGACCACATTGTAAGATCCAGAAATTGATGGCTGGTAGCCTGCCTCCATGTTATTTTTTGATGAGGGGAATCCAGGACAGTTGCCGCTGTTATAAATGATTATGGCACTTTCCAAATCCTAGCTTTCATAACTTCATTCTGTTTGTTCTTGTGCCAAATTCACATTCAGATATTGTTTTCATTTGGTGTCTGGGAGGTTGTTTTTTTTTTTTTTTTCCTGCTGTCAACTCTTTATGGACAAGTGTTTGCTTATTAAGTTTTCTTCTGTGCTATAGTGTGAAAACATTTTTTCCTTTTGGTTTTGTTTTGTGTGTTTTATGCTCAGTGACTGTTGTGGGATTGAGTTGACGAGCCCACATAGATTTAGGTTGGTCCTCTGTGGGTGGTTTCAAATGTTTGTGACATTTATGGTTTGCAGAAGCTGAAGGGGTGGCCTGGTCTATACCCTCTTTGCAAGGTATGTCATGTGTTTGCCAGACCATGCTTAGCTATGAGCTTTTGGAATTGTACCATAACTTCTTTTTTTGGACTGATTCTCCACACTTTTTTTTTAATCTGTAAACTATTATAATTTCTTGCAGCTTTATGGAGGAGTTATATGCTAGATGGATTGTTAGTTGAAGGGGACTTAGAGAAACAGAAAATATAGATTTGGAGACTGAGTAGTCTGTAAGGGGGTAGAGGGCTTGGTATCCCCTTGCCAAAATTTAAATGCTCAGAGATTATTTTTTCAAGGTGTTGATGGAGCTTTGACAATTGCTTAGTTCAGTGTTTATACCTGTGGGTGTTTTGATAAACCTTGTAACTCCAAC